GCGGGGAAATAGTCCCCCTCGGTCCATTCGCCCTCGTGATCCGGGGACGGTCCAAACCAATGGACCGCCCAAAGGACGGCCCTGAATGCGCAATATGGCGGAATAGCCCTGCCTTATAAATAAAAGAGCCAATCACTACTAATTGATAAAGTAATTGTGTAACTGCAGTTAGAAGCTCCAGTTGCTATAGAAACAGTCAGCGTTCTGACACGTGTCCTAACTACAGGCAACACTGCGACACGCGGTAAAAGGTATCTTTTCCATGTTAATCAGAGTTTTTGTACTAACCACCCCGACGGTGACTGAAAACGGTATTTTAGAAACGGTTTCTATTTCTGAGACATCGCGGCTGGAACAACAACATACAAACTATGGCACTCAACACGTTTACATGCACACCAGTAAACTGATAACTCACAAATATCAGCTTATTAAAATAACCAGTTTTCCCCGTTTACATGCACATCTGCATTAATAAATCAGGTTGAGTGCATTTACATGCACGTTCTTAAGCCGGTTATGCTTAATAAGCCTAAAACGCACGTGGTCATGTAAATGCGGTAACCCGTTTTCTTTTATCGGAGTAATCATAAATCAGTCAACACAGGTAGTTTTTTGCCTCTTACCCACAATTTCGCAGCATGTAAATGCAATAACCCGCTTTCTGTCGGCTTACTGAAGTGCGCATGTACTAAATGTTAGTGCAGATTATCGTATATAGACAGAGCAAACGTTTTGCTGTAAAGAAAGAAGGAAATTACTTTTTCATGACTCAGAAAATGACAAAAATGTGTTCTCCTCTTGTGTAGCAGAAATACAAGTGGTTCAGTCAAAACTCTGCATCTATAACTGCATGAGAGGATCATATATGAATTTATAATATAATATATAAAGTCATGTAAAGGTTGCTTACTTGCGTTGTCAGATTACTGATGTAAACGGGGAAAACTGGTTATTTTAATGATATTTGTTAGTTATCAGCCCACATTTGTGCATGGAAACGTGCTCAATGATAATCTCAGGTACTGATTATGTGCTTTATTCACTGGTAAAAGTGTCTAATGTGAGTTTAAATATATTGCGTGAGATTTATAGCCATACTGAAACCAACAACAGATAGTTTCCCAGATCTTGAAAATAAATTAAAACAAATATGTACGTTAAAACTGCAAACTCAATGCGAACCAACAAGTGTTTTCCATGATGGTATCACTCACTCAGTATGTAGTTGTAATAATGTAAAAAAATATATATATTTATGCCTTTTAATTAGATTATACACTTGTCTAGCTTAGGTTTGCACATGCGCAGTAGCTGGTCTAGCCTGAAAAATACTCTTTTTAATGCTATTTGAGCATAAGAAACAAAATAATGAGAAAGTTGTTGTCAGATTTCATTTGTGATTTCAAATATGAAATGTAATTGTAAGATTGATGAACAGCTTTGGAGAATTTGATGCCTTCCCATTCAAAGAGATGTGAGGTGCACTTTATATTAAAATTATAAATGGATGATTGTCAGCCCCTATAGATGGTAACCTTATCTCTTCTATCTATCTCATGTTGCTTTCATCTAGATCTTCATCTCTCTTATGTTTGAAGTCAACATGGGAGAAAGAGTTAGAGCTCAGCTTTTCTGAAGAGCTCTGGTCTGAGGCTCTTGTTAATTAATTAATGAGTTAATTCTACTTCTGCTTGTGCCCGGTTAAGTCTGATTCAGTTAAAAGTTTTGCACCGAACCCACTTTACCAAAACTAGACTCCATAAATTGTTCCCAGAAACATATGACTCTTGTATCAGATGCTACTTTTCTCCAGCTGACCATGTTCATACATTTTTCAGTTGCCCTAAATTGGCCTCATACTGGGCTTCCTTTTTTGATTTTCTTTCAAGGGTGTTACACATTTCTCTCCCTCCATGTCCTATGGTTGCTATCTTTGGTGTGTCTGTTTTTTCTTCTACTCTTTCGAAACAACAAGCAGATGTTATTGCATTTGCCTCCCTGGTTGCTAGAAGATGCATTTTGCTACACTGGAAGTTTGGAATTGTCCAACTCCACCCGCAACTGCCTCTTGGTTAACAGATCTCATGTCATTCCTTTCTCTAGAAAAACTAAAAGTACACTGTACAACTGTTAAATTCTACAAAATTTGGAACCCCATTCTAAAGTTCTTTCACTCTTTGACCTCACTAGATTCTGATTGAGTTTGTTCAGTGTGTGAATGTTTACATTTATGTACAGCACAGCATGGCTGTGTGTGTATGCATGCACGTATACTTCTGTATGTATAATTGTTTTTTTCCCCCTTTCTTTTTTCTCTCATTTGAATACATACTGTATTATATACATTTCATAAATTATTACTGTTACGTACGCTGCGCTATGTAAGCTTGCTTATGTATATGTTGCTATATGAGTGCGTCTGTATCTATGCTTTGTCTGTTTCAGATGTGAAGTTCATTGGAGGATCTGTCTGCCACTCTGCTGACGCAAGATCTGTGATCGCGCCACCAATTGCAGTTTAAAATCCACTCTAACTTTAATGGCGATTAGTCTGGGCTGGGTGATGATACGGCTCTGTGAGGACGGTTCTCTCTTGTGAGAAGACCACTCTGAGAGTCTGCAGAGAAACCTTGCAGCTCAAGATATAATGCAGCTTTTCATCCTCTTTCACATATGATAAAATACATTTAAGATTAAATAAAATTTTTACCTTAACTGTATATACATTATGTATGATATATAATTATAATTGTGCTAAGATGAAATATAATTTTCATCTTAACATGATTTTAAGGCCACCCAGAGTGTTTTGTGTATGTGTGGTTTCAGTTGCTCGTTTTATTTCGTGACTTAAAGTACATTTTAGTACTATTTTTTTTTCCGGTGAAGAATGATTTGTTCGTAAAAATGTTCATACGCAGATTTCTAGAGATGCTGCCACCCTCTGTAACTTTATCCACTGGTGATGTTTGACAGTGTTCATTAAGAATTTGTTTCTATTAGAATTTTTTTATTTATAACTATTTTGTTATTCTTCAGCGCCGTAAATGCGATGATGGTTTAGCCCTGCTTGTTGGAGTTACGGTTCTGTTGTTTTGCAGTAGTATCAGTGTTTTGCTTGTTGTTGATTATGACTTTGATGTGCGCTCTGCACATGTTTGATGTTACCCGATGAGGTGTCTGTTTGTGAAACTTCTCTTTAGTCACTGATGAGAGTTGTGCAGACTGTTTGAAGAGGTTGTGAGTAAGGTAAGCATGTCGCGACATACATTTACATCATGTAGAATTCCATACTGTATTAGACACACCAGGCTAGAGCGAGAGGTGCTAATTTTGTATGTTTTTGTTTGATTAGTCAGAGTAGTGAGCGATGGCGTCTCGTATGCTGAAGATGTTCGTTTCTACATTTTCTGTTGATAGTTTAGTTTGGTTAACCTCAGTTATTGGGAGTTTTTGTTTTGTTTAGTTTTTGATTTAAGCATCTCTCTCGCTCCTTCCTCTCCTCCAACTTGTTCCCGACTGGCTCATTCATTGATTGTACATATTGTAAATATTTACTTTACTACTTCACTCTTTCTCAAGCACTCTAAAAGAAAATAAACACTGTGACAATTATTGATTTTGTTGCCGTTTCTTCCCTTGTGCAGTTCTTCCCACCTTGATACGCACACACCTAAATCTTGTATGTTATGTCTAACAATATCTCTAGACGAACCACAATTGATTGATGAGGGACGTAACAATTACATTTATCTCATATAGTATTATTATAGATAAAACAGTTTCTTGTCAATCCTCCTGAGGTCTTTATGAGTGGGGGGAGGTTATGTAATGTTTTAGTTTTGGTCTGGATTTACTTAATTCAGTGGGGTTAAACGTGGGGATAAGAAAAAAACAAATGCAGACAATGTTCGCTTCACTGTATTGTTCTGTGTTTTACATCTGTCTGTGTAATATTACAAAATAATTTATGTCCACATGTTTTATTATTTGTTGTAAGGGAAACAGGTCAATTTAGCTCAAAGGGAATCATTTAAGATTTTAAAGGGAATTTGGACAGAATCACTGTTTTACGGCTGAGCACTGAGACGGTCAGCGATTGATTGAACGAGCCGTATAACATCAACTCTGCAATGGATATTTATATCCAAAATATAGTGAAAACACTATTAAATAGCACAGTAACAAGATCGGCAGTTTAAGAAAATTATATTAAATGCACCAGTTCAGCTAGAATCTGGAGGTACTTGTGTTGCCTGTGTACAGGGGTTCCCTTTGTTGTCGTCCTTGCAGAAAAGGGGGATTCCCGCAGTTGCTGATTGGCTGGAAGTTCAGTCTTGGGAAGCCAGTGGTTGGGCGTGGGCTGGTTGAAGTTTTAGACGGCACTCGAGGTCGGAAAAAGCGATGCCTGAAAAGCCCGGCTAGAAGCCATGACCAAAAAAGCTAAAGAGCTAAAAAGGCACAATGACTAAAAAGCATAGCTCAAAGCTATGACTAAAAAGCCACATGGCTAAAATTGATGACTTGAAAGCACATGACTAAAAGCGAAAAACTAAAAGCTAGACGTAAAAAGCTAAAAGCGATGAATTGAACCTAAAGACATGACTAAAAAAACAAGCAAGCAAGCTATGACTAAAAAGCATGATTTGATGGTGTTTGACCATTAATCTTGATTACTTGCCCCAAAATTGACAATCTCCTTGGAATTGTCAGTAAGTGTTCTTTTGTTTAAATGCTGTGAGCTACTCAAAGCTGCTAGTTGGTGGACTTGCTTCAGGCTTGTGGCGCCAGGATCTGATTTACGAACATCCTGTGTCTTGGGCCTTTCTGTGGAATTCGGCTCCTCGTGTTTCAACAATGTTCTTGATTGAATCTTAAATTGTCGGTCTGATACCCTACATTTGTTTTATTTTTTGAAAATGTTTTAGCACATTTCTACAATTATTTGAAGAGGAACAGTCTCCCTTGTCTCCATTTTTATATTTCTATTTTTATTATTATTTCAAAAATCCTTTTATGTATCCCAGTGCTCCAGTATTTTCTTCTCCTGCTCTCTTCTTAATGTCTTCCAGAGTTTTTACCTTTTCAGGCTGATTCATTTCCTTCAAATTCTCAATCAGAGAATCAATGTGCAGAAGTGTGAGCAAAGAATCAGTGTTGAGTGCGATCATCTCCAGAGTTTCCACACAGTGAAAAGCTTCATTCACCCTCATTATTTTCTCTGATTCTGAAAGATTTTCTTGCTCCATTTGGGAGACATTTGCTTCCAGATGCTTCCGTTTCTGCAAAACATCTCGAGTCATCTTCAATTGTTTTGGTTTTATGTTTTCAAGAAACTTGAAAAAGCTCATTATTCCAACATGACTGAGTTTCCATGATTGCTCCTGGATTGTTTCATATTTTTCATCAAAGGGCATTGATTGACAATTGTCAAACAGGAAATATACTGGCTTCATCTTGTCATTTACTGCACATTTTACTTTAGCCTCTTCGATGGTCATCAGGACATTTTTAGGTGGAGCTCCAGATGAGTGTGTGAAAAGCAACACCATGTTTTCAGCAATATCTCTTCCAAATAAGGACTGAACAGCATCAAATATGTAGATTTGTCTGTCAGAGAGTCGAGTTTGAGATGCGTCAATAACTAAACACACTGCATCTATTTCATGGAGGCCATCTTCATATAAGCGAAGCAAATTCATGGCAATTTCTTTGTCAAAGGTGATACCATGGGTATTTCCATATCCTGGTGTGTCAATGATTGTTAAGTCATCTGGAATCTTTTGGTCATAAACACCATAGACAGTGATGATGGCTGTCGAGCTGTGATCTTTCCAGTTACTCTGATTATCTGTGATCTCAAACCAAACCTTGTCTTCTCTCTTTACACCCAACATGTAGTTGACTATAGCATTGATCAGGGTTGTTTTTCCTGTTCCTGTTTCTCCAACCATCAGAAGGGTTTTATGGGGTTTCTTTGAGTCTCTCTCCCCAAAGGTCATTTTCCTATATGGTTTAGATTGATCCAAATCATGTGTAATCAGTGTCAGATGGTATCGAGCAGGTTTTCTGTCTTCAATTAAGGTGCTCTTCTTGATGAGTTCGTCATTTTTGTCCTGTAATGTGAAGCATAAAACATAAAAATAATAAAGATAGTTATGTATAATGCTGTATTATGTATGACTTATTATGCTACTATTGCTTGCACATCAAAATGTTGCATCAAAATGTTTACAAAATAAATATTTCATGTTTTGAAATCATAATCAAATTGTTCACCAACATCGCTGTTGACAATAAAGGTCCTTTTATATAACAACGCCCAGAAAGCTATATATACATTTATTTTTTATTTGTTGTTTTACCCATCTAATATTAAACATCAGATTAAACTTGCGTGTTTTTAAATTTCACTTCTTTGTATAATTTTGTAATAAAAGGGATAGTTCACCAAATAATGAAAATTATTTTTGAATTTTAAAATTCTTTTTCACAATGTGAAGTTGGGCTGTAAGGCTGGAAGAACCTCATATACTTTGATATACTGACAGACCAACAATACAAACACAGCGTATTAACAGACATCTGTTTCCACAACCCACTGAGTGAAGATGTGAAAAAACGTCTCATGTTACCCATGTAACTATGGTTCCCTGATGTAGTGGGCAGAACATTACAGGGCCCAGTTTATGGCGGGGCCCCTCTCTGACCACTATAGTGAACAAAGGTTTGCTACATTTTGATTGGATCTTGGTGGACTAACATAAGCAAACTGTCCAACGCCATCAGATAAAGATGCCAAGACAACAGACAGACACCTCTTAGAAGCCAAGAAGAAGACCTTTGGTACAAAGCCCGGGAAGGACAGGACTTCCTATTGGTCAAAATGCAGTTTCTGCCCTTCACCCAACAACAGACCTCCTCAGGTTTTGGCCTGTGACCGCCATAAAAATTCCTTAGGACCTTTGAATGCTGCAGCAGTGGGTGAAACAAAGAGGGATCACAGAGTTCCATCCAAATCCCTTCATAACTATGTTCTCAAACCTTAAACTGATGCAAACTACAACACACACATCTCATACTTATTCAGAGAAATAAGTATTCTCAGTGACAGCGACGTGTAGTGCAACATCTTACACAAACTCAGCTGTTAATGGACAAATGAATGCATGCATGACAGTTCAATCTTTTACCATCATGTTTGGACTTAATGTGTTTGTAACTAGGGCTGTGACGGTGGCAGATTTTTACCACCAACTACCAGTAGCTGGTAATGGACCAACTACCGCCGGTGGTGCCGTGTTGATATATAATTAATATTAAACTCAATGCTAAACGCCACACGTAGATACGATGTAAATAAGATATTATATGCGCAGTTTAGAGAACTTCACTGATAAACGGAACATTGTGAGATTGCGATAAATTGAAGTGAGTGACAGCTTTTTAGTGATTATATGGAAGCGCTATTTGCTCACTTTTTTATGCTATAATCAATTAATTTAAAAATAATACAGTTAAACAAGAAAGTAGCCTAAATAAGAAAGTTAAATGCGTTACACCCTGTCTACCGGGCGCGAGCAGCGCGGCATGACACGACAAAATACTATAGATCTCATTAAAATCAGTGATGCTACACTGGATGCGGCGCGACATGACAAAACAAATCCCCGACAGTAAACTGCCTCATCTTTTTTATGAGGTACTGACACAAAGTTGAAATATCCTGACAGACTCAACCTGTTGCGACGCGGCGGTGTCGCCTCCGTTGTAGACATGTTCCGCTGCCAAGCAAGCGGGTGCATTAACTCCTCGTCTGCATGCGCGCTCTTTGAAATAACAATCGTTGCCACATTTCTCGTTAACATCTTCCATTTATCGCTGTCTCATTTGTATTTGGCCAGTTTGGAGAAAGCCTCACCAAACCTGACCAGCCAGGCGTTTGCGATCACGGGAACATGAAGACCCTTGTATAAACGCGGATGGGTGACATGAATGGAGATGGCTCCAGATCGGCGATGTAGTATTTGGTTTCCCAACAAGGTCCATCGCTCAACACAAAATGAATTTGCTGAATGCATAAACTGAATGCGCTCAAACTTGCCAATCTAAAGGAAACAATGTGTTTAAGTTATACAGGAGGAAAGAAGGGTGGGCCACCCCATGTCCCCCCACTCTGATGGAATCCTCATCGGAAAGGGATAAAGGTACCTTCCCAAAAAACACTCCTTGATCTGAGTCTCCGGCCTGCAATGGTGAGACACTAACAGATAAACCTTGGTACTGAGTCTCCGGCCTGTTACAGGGAAGGCAGCAACAGAAACAACTGTTCTGAGTCCCCTGTCTGCAAGGGTGAGACAATAGCAGATCAACCTCCGTTCTGTGTCTGAGTCCTGTCAAGGAAAGGCCTGCAACAGATCACCAACTTTCTGAGCCTCGGGCCCGTGAGGGAAGAGGCAATAACAGATACCAAGTCCTGAGTCTCCAGCTTCGAGGCAGCAACAGATACGACCACGTTCTGAGCCTCCAGCCTGCGAGGAAAGAGATAATCCACGTTCAGACTTCATTCCTAGAGAGATGAAGCGGATCGACCAAATTCTGAGTCTCTAGCCCAGAGAGGCAGAAGACAGACAGACATTTGCAAAAAGGTTAAGCTCCGGCGAGCAAACCTTCACTTCAAGGTACTTTTGCTTGTGTGTTCCAGGCAAGGACCTTCAGCACTCCAGGGCCACATCTGCGTGTTCAAGATTTTAGGACCCTTTGGTGCTCCAGGAGATCAGCATCCTACAGCGCTTCGTGTTCAAGACTGTTGAAACGGATTCCTGCTCCTTTCCCCACTGCATTGCTACCAGCACAACCAGTGGAGGAAGTCACCGCTTCCTCACCTTATTTCTTTCAGAGTAGCAACAGTTTATCTTTCTGGATAACGTAGCTCTTTGCAACACCCAACATAATCACTTGCATTTTATGCATCTTATGCATTTTATGCATCTTATGCACTTTATTCCTATTTCATTTACGGTATTCATTTAGTAGTTGTTGATTACTCTTGTCTATCTATTGTTAATAAAATCTATTTTGTTACACTTGTGTCTTCCTTGTGTTGATGATACAGAGAGAGGTTCTACAAGTTAGAGATCCCACCAATCTTTCTTATGTGATGTACTCATAACCACACTTTAAGTGACACGTGATTGAAATATCATAACATCATTGGTGATGCGAGTGTCCATCACTACACTATTTCGCCTCCCTAGGTTGGCGAAAGCAAAATTCACTACACTGAGAAGGGGAACGAGACACTGCATCCCCTAGAGGACACTTTGGGGAACGCCCTCAGCGTGACCGGTGTCTGAAGTGCATGTGGAAACACGACAATGAACTTGACATTGGCCTATGACGTGCTACTGGTGCGACCATGAGTATAAAAGGGCACCCGTAGAACACATCATCAGTTTCTTGTCTGAAGGAGACGTGCACAGGAATGCCTGAAGCATGGCAAGGGGACGCAGTGTCTAGTTCCCCTTCTCAGGGAACCATGGTTACATGTGTAACCTGAGATGTTCCCTATCGAATGGGAACTCGCACTGCGTCCCCTAGAGGACACTTTGGGGAACGAATACCCACACCGCCATGCTGAAGGGATGAGTGCCTTATCGGCAGGCATAAGCCAGAAAAACTGTAAGGAGGCCTCATCCCCAGGAACACACCAGCAACTGCCATCACACTGTGAGGGTCAGAATCGAAGTGGGACACCAATCTAAGTGCAATATGCAGGTTCCCGGCCTCATTGCACAAAATGTTAAAAAGTGGGAACGTGAGAGGTGATACTACCCCTCTTCTTAAAGGTTAGTATTTTGAGGATCACAGCCGAAGTGGGACGCGAGCCGCGGAATAGCTCACCATTTCCGCATACCTCTCACATCTGTGCACGCAATACAGAGGGAAACCCCTCCCTGCGCTATCACATGGCAAATTATAAGAAGTGGGAACGCGAGAAGCGATACTGATCATCTACTTTAAACCGTCATAATATTGTGAGGATCACAGCTGAGGAAGTGGGATGCGAGCCGCGGAATAGGCCACCATCTGCTCATACCTCTCACATCTGTGCGCGCAATACGGAGGGAAAACCCTCCATGCGCTATCACACTGCAAATTATAAGAAGTGGGAAAGCGAGAAGCGATACTGCCCATCTACTTTAAACCGTCATAACATTGTGAGGATCACAGCCGAGGAAGTGGGACGCGAACTGCGGAATAGCCCACCCTTCTCGCATATATCTCACAGTCTCAGGCGTAATACAGAGGGCGCATCGCCCTGTCCTATTGCGCAACAGATTAAGAAGTGGGAATGCGAGCTGCACTACTGCCCATCTTCTCAACACATCTCACAGTCATATGTGCAGTACAGAGGGAACCTGCCCTGTCCCCTTTACACAAAATAAGAAGTGTGAAAGCGAGAAGTGATTCTGCCCATCTTTCTAAACCCATAATACAATCGTAACATAGAGAAGATAACAGCTGAAGAAGTGGGACGTGATTAGCGGAATATCCCACCTTCCCCAACACATCTCACAGCTTAATAGTAATACAACGGGGAAGCCGCAGTATTGTATCACCAAACTGGGAAAACTACGAATTGAAATCAGAGACTGATCCCAAATACATGACAAAAATTGTAGTTAGAAGAAAGAAGTATATTCTATTCCAAGTTGTAAATGACAACATGAAGTTGCAAAATAAAGTCAACATCTCAACTGAGGTAGTAAAGGGGAATCAGAATGAAACGATAGCTAACAGTAAATTAAATCAAAGCCTTTATGACCCGCTAGGAAGCTCTCATCCAAACAACTGCTGGGAGCGCATTCCTGCGTCTCCGCCGACCAGTCCAGGCTCAGCCTGGCGGTGACGTGGGTCATGACATCCAAAAGTTCCCCATACACAGTGACGAAGAGGAGGTTGTGATGTACCATCCACCTCGACTCCTGTCACGTCTGTCTCCTCGGAGCTAGACCGACCGAGTAACATGCTCTCTGCCGGATCGGAAGAAACCAGATATACTCATGGTCGCACCAGTGGCACGTCATAGGCCAATGTGAAGTTCATTGTCGTGTTTCCACATGCACTTCAGACACCGGTCACACTGAGGGTGTTCCCCAAAGTTTCCTCTAGGGGACGAAGTGTCTCGTTCCCATTCGATAGGGAACTCCTTTTTCATCTCTTCTTCCTTTGCATTTGTTACATCTCCCTGACTTCCCTCCCTTTACCCATCCTTCTTTCCACTCAGTTCACTAAGAATGGTCATGTGTAACATACAACGTTCCCTTTCATTCAGTCACATTCAGCATTACATCGACAACTGACATATGTGACATAACTTTTCCGTTCCCTCTATCAGGGAACGAGGGTTCCATATGTAACCGAGACGTTCTGTGTGAATGCAAGGAATTTTCATTTTCATGTTTGGTGTCATTTAAAATGTCTCAGTGTGACTGGTACAATGGTCTCATTCCCACAAAAGTAGACTAAACTGTAATAAAGATTTGAGAGTTTAGGGATAATTTGCCTACTGTGTGCCCTTTTCCAACGTTTCCATCCAAATCACCTTCTGTTCACACACAGCATATGCTGTGAAGTCCCCAGGTCTAACATCCTAATGCAAATTTAAAGCAAAATCCAATTGTTATTTCACACCTCCATTTGGATAATATTTATCTTGATCTAATTGCTTCAGAAGAGTTGTAAAAAGCTTGAGTGATTTTGTAGCCAGATGAGCCCACAGTGTGGAGCGTATGCCATACACAGCACTATATATCCTTCTGATGCCAGGTATGCACCTTTTACACTTTTATTCAGCTTTGAGCATTTTTGTATTGATTATCTTCAAATATATTAATATATAATATCAATGATTAATATAAATTATATAGTATGCATAATTCTTTACATGTTTTATCTGTCTTATAAATTATGGATCTTGATTTATTCTCAAATTTTCTGTGATATCATTATGATTGGTAAATTGTCTGACCAGGATAAGAACATTAATGAGGCTCATGAAAGATATTAGTAAACCCTGGAACCACTGACTTAAACTGCAGCAACTTAAGCATTATTCACAGCAGCACCAAGAAAAGATAGAACAATACAGGATGCATTCTATTGGATTTCATTAGGTGGCCCTTACAAGGCAAAAATACCATATTCTATACATTCTGTGCAGTGGTTAGTTTTTTAGACCATGACAGAAATGTATTTTTCCACTAAAGGGCTATATCTGCTCCCCTAAACTGGTTTCCAGGGGCATTTATACCTTTATAATGGCTAGTTTTCTAACCTTACAAAAGGTATACATCATCTTTTAGGTCAACTTATTACAATTAATCAATAAAGTCAATTAGAATAATAAGACACTACAGGGATGCTACCTATGAAATTAAGTCAGTATCAATAAATCTCTAAATGCTCACCTGCAGTAGTCTATCGTGCTAGGCTACATAAGTGAATGCATGATTCTTTTTGCAAAATGAGTGACATACTCAATGTCAGCTCAAAAATAGTTAAAAGAACAATAAAACCAGCCAAGCAAACCCATGTGGGGCCCAGATGGGTTGCACCTAGGCTCTCTAACTCTCTAACTCTATTTATCTTGCACTTTCAGCTTTACAACTTTGCAGATCATATAAAGTTATTGTCTCCCAAAAGTAAGAATCAACTCTGACCAGCCTAAACGAGTCGTCAGTAATTCGAGCTTGTTCATGTTGAGAAGAAACAGTGTCCTATGCTGTGAAAGTAAATTCATTTTATTTCACTTCCGAAAGATGAGGCTGCAAAGAATCAGTGGTTAAAATTCACAGCAGTACAACCCCAATCTTTTTTGTGTTCCCATCATTTTACTGATGACTGCTTCTCTAATCTCGGGGAGTTCTACATGGGATTCACAAAACACTTGCTCCTGAAAGATGGCTCAGTACCCAGTTTATGTGGACCAGCTGGCTCCACTGAATCACAACCTGCAAGTATAATAAATAATAGATGTTTATATTTTCTTTCGAGCATTCAAAATACAGAACTATGGCAATGGATGTATCTGCCACGTGCTGTATGCGGTAGACCAATCACAACAGACTGGGCCATCTGACCAATCAGAGCAGAGCAGGCTCACAGAAAGGAGGGGTTTAGAGAATTAATCTTTGAACTGCTTTGAATGAATCATTGGAAAATGAGATTATAATAAATGCATATTTTGAGAAAACTAAAGCGTATTTTGACCTTGCATGCATGTAAACCTAGGAGACTCCCAAAAAACTGTAATGTGGTGTCTGGGTTTTGTCATGTTCATGTTTTCATGTCTTTTATTTTGTAATTGTTTTATGCTGTTAGTGTCATGCTTCCCTTGCCCTCTTGTCTTCATTCCATTGGTTCCTCTGTTCATTGTGTCATGTTCTGATTGGTTGTCCTAGTCATGTGTCTTGTTTCCCATTGGTGTGTTCTTGTCATGTGAGCCTCTTGTCTGCTATAAGTAGCCATCATGTTCCCATTGTGCCTTGTCGTGTATTGATGTTGTAACCTGCTGTCGGTGAGTCTAGTCTGTTTATGCCTCGTCAAGCCTGTTCATGTCAAGTCAAGTCTGTTCATGTCAAGTCAAGTCTGTTCATGTTTAGTCAAGTCTGTTCATGTCAAGTCAAGTCTTGGATTAGTGTTTGGATGTTTGGATCACCTGTAAATAAACTGCACTTGGGGTCTTCACTACGCTTGCCTTCAGTGGATGAATCGTTACAGAATACACGACCCCAATAATGAACCCAGCAGTTGTTCGTCTTTTCCGCCTTCGTCAAGGTGATCAGGCCATTGAGGACTATGTGGAGGACTTTTGTGGACTGTGCCATTTGGTGGCTTTTAATGATGTGGCCCTTAAGGACATTTTTCGAGTGGGTTTTGGGTTCTTCACTACGCTTGCCTTCAGTGGATGATTCGTTACAGAATACACGACCAACAAAATGAACCCAGCAGATCGTCTCGTTCAACTTCGTCAAGGTAATCGCTCCATTGAAGATTATGTTCAGGACTTTTGTGGACTTTGTCACCAAGTGGATTTTAATGAGACATTCGTTAAGGACATTTTCCGCTATGGTTTGAGCAAAAATGTATCTAGTTTAATGCCACGCAATACTCCTCACTGGACTCTTGAACAATATATAGACTTTGCTCTGCAGTTGAGTGGATCTGCTTTCACTGTGGGTGTCATGGAGGAGGAACATGACACTTCCCAAAAGTCTGCTCACGTCAAGCCTGTTCACGTCATGCCTGCTATGCCAACGCCTGCTCACATCATGTCTGCCAAGCCAAAGCCTGCTAACGTCACGCCTGCTACTCCAGGACCTGCTCACATCATGATAGTTAAGTCAAAGTTTACTCATGTCATATCTACCAAGTCAGAACCTGTTCACTTCATGTCTGCTAACGTCATGTCTGCTACCCCAGGGCCTGTTACGTCACGTCTGCGAAGCCAGAGCTTGCTCATGTCATGCCGGCACCTCAAGAGATTCCTCCCAACATAGCCACCATTGAAGAGCTTCGTTCCAAGATGGCCGCCACACCTGAGTCCCCGGCCAAGATGGCCGCCACGCCAGAGCTTGGGCTTGGACTGAAAAGACTGATAGCTAGCGTGATGGACTTTCCACTGATGTCGGTGAGAGCTGCAGGCATCCGGGGGATGTCCGCGCTCTCAAGCCCCGCCATCTTAGAAGTCCTGCCACACTCTGCTGCCCTCGAACTCACAGACTGTCTTGTCACGGCCACGGAGGCCGTTCACGAACTCACTGTCTGCCGTTACGGCCACGGTCTCCGCTTCCGAACTCACTGACTGCCCTGTCACGGCCACAGAGGCTGTTCACGAACTCACTGTCTGTCCTGCTACGGCCAAGGAGGCCGTTCTTGAACTCACTGCCTGTCCTGCTACGTCCAAGGAGGCCGTTCTTGAACTCGCTGTCTGTCCTGTCACGGCCATGGATGCCGTTCTGGAACTCACTGTCTGTCCTGTCACGGCCATGGAGGCCGTTCATGAACTCACTGTCTGTCCTGCCATGGCCAAGGAGGCCGTTCATGAACTCATAGTCTGCCCTGTCACAGCCATGGAGGCTGTTCTTGAACTCACTGTCTGTCCTGTCAC